TATGTTCTCGGACGCCTTCGCGATCCTCTTGGTCTTGAACGTCTTCGCAATTGTTCTGGATGAGGCGGCACCTAAACACTCATTGAACAGTAGCACTCTCAATGGCTTTGAGCTACAGATTTTCATAACGCCATTCTCCAACTATGCAGATGACAACTTTTCCAGTTGCTTTGACCAATGGTCAGCTTGCTGGCGATCCTGACTATCCCCTACATTGTACTATGCTTTAGCAGCAAAAATTTTTTTTTTATTTTTTATGAAAAATACTCGTTTTGTCTATTGTGAAAGTGTAGTGCAAACTGGAACTATTGGTAGGCTGAAGCCAATGGTTCCAGGTTCCACAAGTGAACACAAAAGAGCCTTTTTTGGTATGTTCCTTTTGTTCAACTAGTAGATTGATATTAAAGCTCGTTTTGGAATTGCACTGACTTTCTGATAATGGAATTGCTAAATTTTTTTAACAATCTTTTGTTAAAAAAATTCTTTTTAACAATTTTTTTAACAATTCTTTTTGTTAAATTCTTTTCTTTTGTTAAATTTAACAATTCTTTTTTTTAACAATTCTTTGGAATTGCTAAATTTCTTTCTTTTGAATTTTTCCCAACAGTTTTTTTATAACGAACTCGAAAAAGAGGGATTGATAGGGAGGGAGGGAGATGAATATGGTTCCTGAGTGCCTAATAACGAAATCCAGAGAGACCGTATTCATAAAGCAGTGGATAACATCATCTGCCCAACTGGATTCCAATCGTATCCATAATCCATTTCAGTGGATAAGGTCGATCGTAAATTATCCGCAACGTAAATGAATTATCAATTTTGACAATACCAGATGTCGTGCTTGAAGGAATCGATGGAAAAGCTTTTTGTATTTAGCTGAATCACGGCTGCACGAATAGGACAGGTCGAATACTCGATCAAATGCCATCAACGCGCGCTGCATTGTATGCAGGGTGTTGGACAAAAGCGATAACTGATTCAGCATCTAAAAATTTACACTGATCTTCAGAAATAACAGATGTTAACAAAATAACACTAAGAGCAATCGTACTCCAGGCATATAGCCAATCCGTATTGAGATATGCGAAATCCACCAGATCCCAAAGGAGGTTTTTCCTGATTAATTCCTCTAATTTCTTTTTTTCTGAGGGGTTTTATTAAGACGGGGGATTGGGGAGGGGTAACCACATCCTTCGCAATACCGATGCGCGGATTGTTCGGTACGAGTTATAGTCTGTTCCATCACGTCCCCCAGTACCAATCAGCTTTTATTGATCAGCGTGAATCTCTCGTAAGCCTGAACATCGTGGACACTCGTAATTTGGATGTGCAGTCTATCCAGTATGAAGCATAATCCGATTGTAGCGTCGAGGTTGATCTCGGGTGTCAAAGTGAGGAAGGTGTACAAGATAGAAAATAGAAGAAAATGGACCTATCCCTCACGTCACTTGGCACCAATAAAATTTTTCGTTACCAACGTAAATTGCCTCCAACGTGAGTTCTACTATCCATCGAATAGAAGTAATTTTGCCATCAGCTTGCTTCCAAGCAATACTCGAAAAGATATTCGTGGCCAGCCTCGCCGATAGGCGGTTGCTGTTGTTGGCATAAGCTACCATTCGGGTTACTGCAGGAATGCCTCCTTTTTCACAGAGAGTGAACTGGGATTGGGTTTTGACTTTTGAGAACAGTGTATATATGTGATTAATCAGCACTTTGTTACCTTCTGCTTGTCGATCTCAACATCCGGCGACCGAGGATCCTCCAAATATTGCTTGAGTCTTTGTAGCCTCCTCGTTGCGAGCTTCACATCCAGAATATGCTTTTTCAGAGTGACTCGATCGCGTATCATTGAACGCATAAATGCACAATAATCATTCCATTCTTTGCCTTCTCGTTTCTAGAAATTCAAAGTAAAATTTCAAAATAACTGTTGCGGAAAACCCGTGAAAAAAGGCGGCAAAGAAGAAACCTGTACAAATCTGTATACCGTTTAAAAAGAGACAAACAAAAGAAGAATGATGTATACTGCCTGTGGGAAACAGACACGAAAGAAAAGTATATTGTGCCTTAAAATGCAGACAGTGGATAACATGTCCCATACGGATGTGAAGAGGAGTGGTTCGATTCTCAAAGACGTTTGCAAAAGAGGGATCAGTCTTCATCATCAGCATTTTGTTAATGCAAAATTATGTTACAATCGAAAAGAACAATTTTGGTCTATGGATTTCTTTTTGAAATTACACTGTTTGGAACTACATGAGATCTGCCAGCACAAGCGTCGAAGTACCTGAAATTTCCCAGCTTCGAGTAAATCGCCGTCCATTTCATAGATCGCTTGTAATATATCATTCTCACATGAATTTCCTGGAAACTAGTCTCCTTGTTTCATCCTTAATTTTTGCAAAAATTTGGGAGCTTGTTTTAGCTAGTAGACGCAACCGGGCCCAGCGATTTGTTTATTCATTTGGGTGGTAAATTGGTAATGACATTTCAAATTCGCCATTAGCTTGCTTCGAAGCAGTCTCCAAAAGTGGAAACCATCGACAGCCTTGCCAGCACTAGTTACAGCTCAGACTACATCGAAGTTAGAGAGTGAGTTATGATTGGATTTTTATTTTAGCCAGCCTATAGTTCATTCGTTCTTCCCCTGTTTTGAACGATCCTCCTTTGCTGTTCGTGGAAAATTTTGCAGGCGAACCCCCAGTTTGGTGAAAATGGATCAAAATGAATTGAAATTCTCCGTCTTCAAGAATTCAAGATGCTTTGACGTGCTTTGGTGCCTATTCCACCTTGGACTGGGTGGGTTATTGTAAACTTAGGAATCGGTGCCTATACAATTAGTATGGATACGCACTCTGTGTGTATTTGTTGATTTCTACTCGTTTCGCATTTTTGATTTCATGAGTACTCGCAATGCTTCTTGATTCCACAGATGGAGAGGTTTTTGGTTTCTTTCCTGGCTTTTTTTCTTCTTTTTGGAGAGGTGGAAAAGAGGCACTGAGTTAAGACTTCAGTTCATTAGAACGAACTGTGTATTGTAGCCCATTTATACGAAGCTCGAGATGAAGTTGCAGAAATGAAAAGCTTAAAAGAGTGCGACTTCTGATCTCAATTAGTTTTTGCTGTTTTAAAGCAAAAACGTGTCTAACCTCACAGAAATAAGATTTCCCGTTAAAAATTCTTCAGTACTACGAAGCCAAAAGCTGCAGCTCAGGGATATCATTTGTGGTCACTAATTAGAAAAGTTGAAGAGCAAGCGCTCGCTGTGGTGAAGTGAGTTGGAACACTGTATATTAAGTGTAAATTTTTTTTGAGTTCCAACAAACCTGGGCTATAACAATCAGGGAATAAGACAGTACTGGATTCAGTGCTCGAATAAGATTTAAAGCCTTCCAGAATAGATATGCGAGATTCTATGTCGAGGACCATACTTTCATAGCGTCTGTTTATTTTCTCCGCAGCCGAGGTGCACTTTGCTTCCAGCTAAAAGCATTTTTGGAGGCATTTCTGATAAGTTAATGGCTTTTGGC